TTCCAGTTCAATGAGAACTGTATATTTAAAAAAAAAAAAATACAGCGGAGGACACTCCTCAAGCCCAGCACATGGCTCGTTTTGGGTTTGGGGGGATTTTTTTATTTTGTTTGTTCTTAAAGTAAATTGTGGGGGCTGTTGCTGTTTTCTCAGCCCTCGGCTTGCCTCCAGATTCCGGTTTTAAAGCTCGCCATTTTAAGCCTGGTGTATCTGGAGGACCTGTCTCGTGATTGTCAGGTGCCTGACTTCTGGCAACACGGCATTGTTTCCCGCCAGGAACTCGATCCTCAATTCTGGGAGGGAAGCCTCCTGTTACAGTGCAGCAAAGCTATTTCCAATCGGCCTGCTCCCGAAACAGAAACCGATTCTTTCCCTGGCAAGAGCTGGCCCCCCGGCCCAGCCTGTGTTTGGCTCTCGAACGCTGCCTCTTGCGGGATGTTGCCTGGGCTTGGCCCGTAGGCGCTTGGCGGCCCTGGAGCGGTGTAGTAGTATCAGGGTCTGGTGCCTTTCTTCTCCTGGGGTGGGCTGGGGCAGAGGGTACGTTCAGCATCCCGGCCCCTGGCTCCCCCAGCTGCGTAGCATGTTTGCTTCTTAGCGAGCTATTGTAAAAGATGCATTTTAGGTGGCTTTGAAGGTTGCTGGGTGGAGCGTCCCTGTGCAGGTACAGCACAAAGTTCTGCTCACCCCTCCACCAACCAGCACGCCCTCCCCAGTTTGGCTCGGACCCCAGCTAGGGTGAGAGTTGTGGTGCAGTGGCTTCTTGGGTTGGTGGCTTTGGTGACAGTGACCACTGGGCCCCAGTGATCTCGCTTACTGCCAAGCAGCCCTCACAAGGGAATTGCTTTCTAACTACTGACTGGGGGGGTCTGAACCAGCAACCTCGAGGTGCCAAGACCTTACATGGGTAGCACCAAGGTCCCTCCCCTATGGGGTTATTCACAGGAGTCCTGGGGGCCAACCCTAGCCAAAGTCCTGCTTCCTGCTGTTTCACCGGGGGGTGCAATTCCTGTGCTAACCGGTTACTTTTTGTGGGTAAGTAGCTGCTGCCGTGTTCCTGCCCAGAGGTGGCTGCATTTCACCCATGGGCAGCCCCTTGCCGCCGGGACGCAGGGTGCTCAGGGAGAGGTCAGATTGTCGTGTCCTCAGCTGTTTGTCTTCTCCACCGGCAGGATCCGTCCCCAGCTGTCCAAGGAGAAGATTGAGGGATGTCACATCTGCACCTCGGTAACGCCCGGGGAGCCCCAGGTGTTGCTGGGAAAGGACAAGGCCTTCACCTACGACTTTGTCTTCGACCTGGACACGTGGCAGGAGCAGATCTACACCACGTGCGTCAGCAAGCTCATTGAGGGTTGCTTCGAAGGCTACAATGCCACCGTGCTGGCGTATGGCCAGGTACCCGCTTTCCCCGCTTGTGTCGGTGGCAGACCTGGGTCACCGCACCACCAGCTCCGGCAGGGCACTGAGCGCTGGGCCAGCACAGCTGGGCAGGTCCTGCAGGTCGGAGCTGAGGCTCATTGGTGGGGTGCAGGGCAGAGGCCAGAGCTGGCATGTTGGGGGGGCTGCCGGCTGGGTTCTTGGGGCATCAAGCTGTTGGGGAAGGGTGGCTGCTGGTTGGGATTAGCGGGCTGGGGCGGATGCGCCGGGGCTGTCTAAGCGCCTGTCCTGTGCCTTTCAGACCGGAGCTGGCAAGACGTACACCATGGGCACCGGCTTTGACATGAACCTCTCCGAGGAAGAGAACGGGATCATCCCCCGGGCCATCTCCCACCTCTTCAGCGGCATCGAGCAGCGCAAGCGGGCGGCGCAGGAGCGGGGCACGCCTGTGCCTGAGTTCAAAGTCAGCGCCCAGTTCCTGGAGGTGGGTGTGAGCGAGGGGGGTGAACTGAGCACGGGGAGTGGCCGTGCTCACGGCCGTGGGGCAGGGCCTGGAGAGCGGCCGTGCCCGCGTCTGTGGGGCAGAGCACAAGGAGCTGCCGTGCCCATGTCCGTAGGGCAGGGCCCGGAGAGGGTCTGCAAACCACAGCTGCTCATGCGCCGCTGCAGGGCCCTGCATCAGACAGCGCTGGCTGGTCACACTCTGGCTTCTCCGGGAGGCAGCAGACCTGGTTACCTGGGCCCTGCCCGCCTCCGTGGCTCCTCCTCTTCGCCTCTCCATTGCCCCATTCATCACGCCCTGCCATTAACCAAACCTTTCCTGTGGCGCCTTTGATCTGGAGCGCGCCCATCATGCCGTGCAGGCTGCGTGTACTTGCCGATCGCTCAGCGGTGCCCCCATGCAGCGAGATCTTTGCCCGGTGGGAGCTGCCGTCACAACTTGCCGCCTGTCCTGGTGACAGGGATGCTGCCCGCTCACAGAAAAGCACCAGGCGCCCCAGGACTCCGCAGTCCGGACGGGAACGGGTTCCGTGGCTCCTCGGGGCGAGGGCGGGAAGGCTGTCTGTAGACCGCCCCGCTGCGCTGACCCAGCCTCTGTGTGGTCGATGCCCCAGAAGCGTGCGAAAGCCCAGAGAGCGTGTAGGGGCTGGCTTTGCCTCTTGCAGTCGGATCATGCTGACAGCCGCGTACGCTGTGGTGTACGGATCCAGGCTGTGCCACGCTTGCGTCCAGGGACTAGCGCTGGGAAGGAGGTCTGTGTGAGACCACTGGCGGCTGCTGCTACGTTATTTTGCCAGTGTGACGGCGCGTTGGGGGTCCCCTGTCTCCTGCACCCCAAAATGGCACAAACAGACTCCACCAGCCAGTAGAATTGAGGGTGGTTTATTGTTCCTCCAGGATACAGCACAGATGTAATCTAGTTACAGGAACTGGAGCTAAGAGGCCTCAGTGCCCCCTTGAGATGGGGGGATCCCAGCCCCCTCCCCAGTTCCTTCTTCCCTGCTTTCCAGCCAGGAACTAACCCTCCTCTTCCAGCCCTGCCCCCCAGCCAGGGCCGCATCCACCTTCCTTTGTTCCTCTCCATGGGGGGTGACTGGTCAGACAGGTTGAGACCTTCTTTGCATAATGACTCATGGCCTGTCCCTCTGGGCCGTGGTACCAACTGTAGCCAGTGGGGGTTACTACAGACCCATAGAAACCAGCCAGGTACCCCCACTACGTCACAGCCAGCTCCCCTTGGCGTGACTGCTTGGGGTTCTGCAACTTTCCCTTTTCTCAGAGTGCGCAAAACCTCCGAGAACTGACAACACGTCGCGCTTCAGCATCGAAACGCCTCCCCCGGTAGAAAACTGGAGAAGGAAGTGTCTGTTCTGAGGTTCCTTAGGAGGGGCTGAAGACCTGGCTGGGTCCTGAGTTCTAATGCTGCTGCTGGTGCCCCTTGCGTATCTCTTCAGAGACGTGCTTTCTTGGGCTTCGCGGCACCAGTGGCCCGTTTTACAAGGCACTAGTGACTTGCAAACACGGGTCAGAACCAGCAACAGATTGAACATCTCCAGTTGGCCAGGGCCAAACCTCTAGAGCGGAGTCCCACCCCACCCCCGGAAGTCTCTGGGCTTCATTTTCTCCAACTGGGCAAAGACTTCAGACCCGTGTGACTTTACTCTGCTGCACCCGGGTGGGTGAATCGCCCTCCCCTTGCAGCTTAGGAAACCTTCCTGCTTCCGTGACACCCTCCTGCCTCTTCCGGCCCGGAGCTGAGGAAGTTGGGAGCGTGACCGTGGCAGAACCAAGCAGGTGGCGGGGGGATTCCCTGCTCATTGTCAACTTCCTTTGAAATCCCTTTGTCGGCGCAAGGCTGTTCCCCGCGGCTCGGTCCGTACGCCCGAGGACGGCGTGGCGGGGAGCCCCGGGCGCGAGCTGCCGAATCAGACACAAGGAAACCCTGGGGCAGCGGTGCCTCTTCGAGCCTGGGGAATCTCCGTCCCTGGAGAGATTTAAGAGCATGTTAGACAGATGACTGACGGGGATGATTTAAATGGGGCTGGGTCTTGCCGCCAGGGCAGGGACTAGACTTGATGCCTCTCGAGGGCCCTTCCCGTGTTCTGTGATACTGCAGAATCAGTGACCAGACACAAGGAAACCCTGGGGCAGCGGTGCCTCTTCGAGCCTGGGGAATCTCCGTCCCTGGAGAGATTTAAGAGCATGTTAGACAGATGACTGACGGGGATGATTTAAATGGGGCTGGGTCTTGCCGCCAGGGCAGGGACTAGACTTGATGCCTCTCGAGGGCCCTTCCCGTGTTCTGTGATACTGCAGAATCAGTGACAGCAAAGGTCCCAGTGGAGGCAGACTCCGACTTCACTGTCGCATCATCTAGATCCCCTTGCTAGCTAGTGCTTTGCCTCAGGAGTGCTCAGGTTGCTTTACAGTGACAGGAGTCCCATTTTACAGAAGAGGAAACTGAGGCACAGAGCAGAGAAGTCACTCACCCAGCAGGCCACTTGCAGAGCTGTGAACAGCTCAAACCCAAGTCTCTGGAGTGCTAGGTTAGTACTCTGGTCACTAGGCCACACTGCCTGCTCCTAGCATGCCCACGATTGCCCAGCCAGCAGGAGGCGGCCTCCTTTAGCTGACTGCTTTGAGAGAG